CCGGATTCCTGGACTCATGACAGGGAACTTCATGTTATTCTTTAATATGACACCTTTCCTTTCTGCATTTAAGTACTCTTCAAGAAGGCAATAACCACCATGTTATTAACATACCTTGTGAAGATTTTCTTGATTATTTTAACTGTATTTCCTAATTTTTTCTAATTTTTTTTTGCACATTACCCCTAAAGACATGTTAAGCATTTTTAACCAGGATTTATTTCTTACATTCTGTTTCTGTCATATTTACCTTCAACTTTAGTTAACTTCCATAAGCTATTGTGAATAATAGAAGGAATTGTAGTTGTGCTACTTTGAACAACAGTAAGCTTAAGCTTACTGTCTTTGCATTAGAGTGCCTAGTAAACTAGCCATCTTATAGCTGTGAACAGTAATTATTGATACAGTTTAATATTTCTCTTATGTCTAAAGCCTAACGAGATTAGTGTTAAGCAAGTTTGAGCTTCAAAGAACAATTAGGAAATTAGGATAGCATACTTAAATCCCTGCAAACTATTATTAAAAAAAAAAAGCCAGACCATCACACCATTCACCTTGCCAAATTTCAGCTCAGAGCCCAATTTGTTATTTTTTATTTTTTATTTTCTTTTTTCTTTTTTATGGATAGGTTAAATACACTGAGTGAAAACAGTGTTTAGAGTGGAAATGCTGACAAAAACTTTACTGCAGCCATGTGAACAATGCAGCTGTAATAATAGAGAGTATGCCCTTACCACAGCAAGAAAAACGTAAGGAGTTCTGAATGTGCACTGAATGAGCCATTACTTATGTCTATCACAAAGAAATAGCAGTGCTGAACAGAAAGAAAAAAAAAAAAAGGATACATTAAGGGTCCTTCCCCCTCCTCTCCCCAAAAGAAAACTAAAACTAAAAAGATCAGATGTGACTCAGGCTTTCAAACAATAAAAATAGCAAGATAAAAGAACTAGGTTGCTTCATTGCCTAAAGAAATGGTTAGAATCTTAAAAAGTCTGAAACCTGATTGTGAGAGATTCACTTTATGGGCTGCTAAGAAGGTTCTGACCTTCGTCATCAATAGACTGTCTGAGCCTTTGTGGTATTCAGCAGTAAAGGAAGTGCTTAAAAAGTCATCCCTCTGAAAGATGGACTGGAAAAATCTCCAGATCTCAGCCTGGCTGTTGTCACTGCGCATGCTCATTCAGAATCTGCCTGTAAATCTAATACAGATAAATCTTGCTTCATTTCTAAGTGATAAAACTGGAGCATCCTCACCTTAGAGATGGATCAGGATATCTAGAATTCAATATAGGTGAAATCACTATAGAGGAGGCCAGCTAATGACCTATCTGTTGTGGGGCTCTGGATGTGCTTTATTATAGTACTATATTTCTCTGTCTGTACTAGAAGACATTGAAGGAGTGGAATAACACTTTTTCAAGTACCAGTGATATAATTTTCTTACACTCACTCCATGGTTTTGGATGCAGTTTTTCCTGTTCCAACATTTGCACTGAAATGAACTGTAGCAGATGACTGCCCTGTGATTTCAAATGGCCTTCTGGGACAGCAGAACTGAGTTCTACAACTTTCTGGAAAAGTCTCATCACTGTCTAAGTAGTACACTAACACAGCAGTTGTCATGATATGGATCTTCTAGCAGGATGAATTAGCCTGCTAGGTGGTGTATCAGGCTAATACAGTGACATGGCTCCTGGTACACAAATGAGCTCACTGAAAGACAAATGGGGTATCTTTACACAAAATGCATCTGTGTTGCAGATACAGTCATACCCTGGCTGAAAAATCTTGTGATGTTATCCTCTAGAAACCATACAAGCATTGAACATTTACAGCAGAAAGCACAAAATACAGATGGACCACTAATGATTAGAGCTTCTATGACAGCAGATGAGGTACAGCCAGACTATCCTGAATGAGGCAGCTTGTACCTTATGCTGCAAAGGAAGAAAAACAAAACAAAACAGTGACAAGAGAAATCTCTGCCAGTTCTGGTCAGGGTTGGAAGGGAGAGAATTACTGCTGTCTCCCGATCTGATGTCTAATGTCTTGAGTTTTAGCAAGGCATTTATGCAGTGTGTTCAATGTCAGAGCACGAGTCCACTTGGACTGCTGTCAAATGGTCCATGTAAGGAACTTGCTTCAAAGTAAGCAACATAATCATTGAGTCTTCTTTCTGCTTTCTAGCTGCTTTACCATTCCCCTGGACCTCTGAACCATGCAAGGGTATGACCCCGCAGGCCAACACTGGGGAAACCCCTCTTTGAACTTGTATCTTCCTCCATAGACTTGCCACGAAAGGCAACTGTGATCGTCAAACAGCAGCTTGTGCTGTCTACTGAAAGATTTTACTGAAACTGGGAAACAGAACTTGTTCTGAAGCACAGCCTTATGGAATTTATGACTCAAAGAGCTAGGAACAACAATATAATGGTCCAGTTTCAAGGCAGCTTAATCCCCCCAGAGAACTACTAGAATTTCATCTCTCCTGTCTCTACACTTCAGTGCTGAATGTAGCTCAGTGGTTCTGCCTTGGTATATGTAGATTTAGGAAGATAGCACTGAAGTCTTAAGTGTTTTGAAAGGTTTTACTTCACAACCATAAGGGCAAAAGCTTTTTTAGTTGAAATCAAAGTTTAAATTCTGAAATAAAAAGGGCTCATCAAAGAATTGGCAAAGAATATAAGAACTAGGTGCCAGATGAAATCCCTGTGTGATTTATCAGCAGGTTCTTCTCTAATCTGATGTAAGATAATATGAGGAGGTGTTGAAAGCAGAATAAAACTAGATACAGAACAAAAAGCATAAGTAACAGGGTTCGTAAGACTATGCACATAAGGAAATTTACATTATGTAGTAGGCAGGTTGCTCTCCCCAAGGTTTACCGAGATATATTGGGAAATAACAGACAAACCCAGAAGATTTTAAAAGATAAATTATCTTATGTTTCTTTTGCATCTATTTTTATTGTCTATTTGAAGAGATGTGGTTTCTTTATCAACAGACCAAACAAAATACTTATCTGTAGTAGCTGGTAGTGCCATGGACAGACATCTCTTAGCAAAAATTAACTCTCAAATATACAGAAAGCTGAACTTGCTTAGAACTGATCAGGAAGATCATCTCTGAGAGCTCACAAATTTAGAGTAGTTTAGTTAGTGACTGTAGCACTAAATTGTCTCATCTATATTCCTCTGCATAGTGATTCATAAGAAGCACTTTACAGTAAATGCTTCCAAAATAAAAACCAGACATTTTAACCAAAGTCTCAGGAAAATACTTAACTGACAAAGATAATGATTTTCTAAAAGCTTTTCCCTGGAAGTGTGGTTTTTTTTTTATTGAGGCAGTGATTAAAGTGAGCCTGCCTGAGTTATAACGTGCTTCCATTGCACAGCCCAGAGTCATGTTAATCAGCTTGAATACCTAAAAATACAGTAGAAGCCGTAAAAACCCACTTAATACAGCAAAGTTCATTTCAGGTGCTGGTCCACCAGAGAAATGTCCATATGTGATGAAAAAATTACTGGTCTGTATTTCAGTTTGTGCTCTGTTGTTTTGGTTTTTTTTTATTCCATGGCAAACTATTTTTAGATTCTTAAGACAATCTCATGGCAAACAGTTTGGTCCAGCCAATTTCCCATTTACACTGATATCAACCTCGTTTCAGATTGAGGACTTTGACTTTGTTAGCTTTCTGGTGAGGAGAAGACAGTCAACTGTATTTTGGGCTGCATTCAAAGAAGTGTGACCAGCAGGAAGAGGGAGGTGATTCTGCCCCTCTGCTCTGCTCTGGTGGGACTCCACCTGGAGTACTGTTGTCCAGCTTTGGAGTCCTCAATACAGGAAAGATATGGACCTGTTGGAGAGGGTCCAAAGGAGAGCCACAAAAATGATCAGAGGGATGGATCTTCTCTTCTAGGAGAAAAAGCTGAGAGAGTTGGGGTTTGAGGTTGCTCAGCCTGGAACAGAGAAGATTCCAGGGAGACCTTATTGCAACCTGTCAGTTCTTAAAAGGGGCCTTATGAGAAAGATGGGGAGAGACTTTTTAACAGGATCTCTTGCAAAAGGACAAGTTTTTAAACTAAAAGATGGAAGACTCTGGCTGAATGTGAGGAAGAACATTTTTACAGTAATGGTGGTAAAATATTGGCACAGGTTGCCCAGAGAAGTGGGGGGTGCACCATCCCTGGAGATATTTCAAGGCCAGGCTGGATGTGGTTCTGGACAACCTGATCTAGTTGAAGATGCCCCTGCTCATTGCAGGCGGGTTGGACTAGATGACCTTTGAAGGCTCCTTCTGACCCAACTGTTCCATGATTCCATGACACTAATTCTGCTTGAGGGCTCCTTAGTACTATACAGCTGCTTAGAGGAAAATTCCTATAAACTTGTATATGATGTAGATACTTAAATCTCATTTTCTGGAGTGCTATAGGACCTTCACTGAATGGACCACCCAAAAAGCTGTGAAAGTCCTGTGTTCTCCCTCCAGAACACGGTATAGCCATACACTGCAGGGCCACATGGAGGTCCATAACAGGTCCCAGTTATGTTGGCATGACATGGCACTAAGATTATCAGGCTCATCCCCTCAGCTGATGCTGGTGCTAGCTGGAATATCTGCTCTGCTGCACAGTGAAGATAAATCATAATTTCCTAAATTACCTAGTGCTGAAGCCAGCACTGAAAAACACAGCTTCCAATCTTTAGGCTGTGCTATGGTTTGTTTTAAAAGGGATTGAATGTCTTACAAACAGGTAAAATTGCTGCCAGATGCAAGTACATTAGCCTTTTCCAGCTGCTTTACTGCTGCCATTCAAAATAATCTGCTATAAATATGATTCCTTTGAGCTCTATCCTGACAAGTGCGGAGCACTATCTGGGGGAAGGGCCAGTGGTTTTCTATCTCCAGTGAACTCAGTAGGAGTTGTGATTTCTCAACGCATTGCTGAAAAAGTCTGCTGAAATTACCTTAAATGACACAATTATCCCCTCACCTCTTGCTCATTCTCTTGCAGTCGTGGAAGGAGGAGTAAGTTTCTCCACAGGCAGTTGTGCTGCAGTAAGGTTTTCAGCCTGGAGGTGGTGAACAAATGTCAGAATCAACAAGTTCCTTGTTTCTGGGCTGGTGACAGTCCTGGCTGCAATCTGGTTTAGCCAGGGAAGAGGCGTGAAACATGGCAAAGATCTGAAACCCTATTTACACTAACAGTATCAGCTTCTCATATGGTCTAAAATGGCTTTACCTCTTCCCTTTACCCCTTCCTATAAATTTCTGCCCTTTACCTAATTTGCACTCCCCTACACAACAAAGGTATCACAGCATCCAGGACACATTCTGGCAGCTTTTACCGGTGCAGTAGCCCATAACGTAGGGCCCTTGCTAAATATCTACAAGTTGCCTATTGTTTTAAATATGTTCCTGTCTGAGCAGAAATTGATTTATTACGTATTTTTCCTTTGTACAATCTGTACCTGTAGTTAAGTACATTAAACTGGTGTTAAATATATGGAGGTCTGTTAAACAATAACAAAATGTTAAAGGCTGAGTGCTTATGCTTAACAAATCATTCTGAAAGACGATCATCATTAAAGCTATTTACAATTATACTTGTAGTAATTGATGGAAAAACTGGAGAAGACAATTACCTGTGCCTTGCACCTTTTCACTCTGAAGTCAGAGTGAAGCTTCACATCTGAAGCAGATGAAAATCAACATTTCCTTTGAATCTGAGCACAGTTATGAGTTTACAATGCCAATTAAGTCACCTTCCCTATTGTATAGGAACTAGTGTTGAGAAGAGGTTTATGAACTTGATTCTGCACCTTATTTGACAAGTTTGAAACCACTACTGGCTCCCTACACTGAGAATTAGGGTGTTAAATCTTAGGGGAGGGATACATTTTGGCAGCAACACTCCAGTGTCCCTTGTAAACACTGCAATAAGAAATGGCTTTGAAAGCCAAATCCAGATCTGAATTGGGCTCAGATACAGCTGGGACCCTACTTGGAGCTCACGCCCCTCTGGAATATATTCACTCTACCTGATTTTTTTAATACCCCTCTCTGACCTCAGTAACTGTGCTTACTAGCTCTCAAAGATCAGAACACATGATTTTTTTGCACTAACAACATACAATGCAAATCAATCAGTCACAGGGTTTTGGTTGTTTTTCTTTTGCTTAAAAGCCAGATTTTCCCTTCTTGTTGCAGATAGAAAACCGGTACACTCACGTTATTTTGTAGTTTAAGGGACTTAAACTTTTACACAAAAAAGAAAAAGTAATTACAGCTTGTCTAATATTTTATGTACTAACTGTTGAAGAGTTTCCTTCTTTCATAATAGTGCCCACAACAGTGGAAAAGGCATTAGCATGCTTTTTTTTTTTTTTTGGCTTTGGAACATTTGAGTATTCTTAACTTTTCTACATTTTCTCCTAGGACTCTTTCTTTGCTCAAGTTATGGCATCATAAAGCAGCATTGACTTCCAAAAAAATTTGTAAGCATGAATGACAAGAATGAAACCTCTCAGCAAATGCACAGTAGTAAGCAGCTAAATGTAGCAGCAAACAAATTGAATGATATTCCAGCAGCACTACAAGAGGTCAAAAAACATCTTGGAGGTGCAGTAGCAGAAAATATAATGGAGAAAATAGAAATGGCAGAAAGAAAGAAGAAAAACCAGAACAATGATGTAGAGAGAGCAAGCCGTAAACGGAAATCAGAAAATAATGAAAAACTGGCTGTGCAAACAGAAGAAACAATGTTAGAGACTGACAATCCATTAATGCTGACAGTTCTGTCTCATATTCCTCTGAAAAGCCTAAGTGACATAGAAACGAAGCTGGTCTACATTGATGAGGATAACATTTTCCTTGAGTTTGATGAGCCTATGGTGCTTAGCAGCACACAGTCAGGGTGTCGTGATTCTGCACAAGCACATGCTCTGAACACACCTGACAGCAGCACTTTGCCCCACATCAGCAAAGAGCTTCAGATGACCCTCCTGCAAGCCAGCACTTGCTACAGACAGAAGAACTATGTAGCAGCAGTGGAGCAGTTATCAACAGCAATGGAGGTATGTGGTTAAAGAAGTATGATCACCATAGTGAAGTAAATGAAAGGCTGTCATTGTACTAACTTGGTGTAATAACATCAAAGCAAACAACGAATACAAACCTGGGATGGATACAGGTTAATAAAATCCCGAGATGCAATTTCCCATGAAATCTGAAAATTGAAAGCTAAAAATAAATCACAGAGAGAGGTTGGCATGGACTGAACAAAAAATCTTAGCTGATCTTGTATTTTTCTCTAAGTCTGCAACAGTATTTATGTATGGAGGAAATTTAAGTCCCATGGAGTGTGGTGGGTCAGGAGGGGAATCTCTTTCTCTGTCAGAAACAATACCTTGATAATCAGGGGAGTTCCCCACTCTATCCTAGCTGTCTATGCACTGCTGATTTAACTGTTTAATCACACATCCTGATCCCTTTTTTTCTCTAAAGCCAGAAGACGGCCACTAGATCTGTGTGGAAATCCATTTTTTTTCCACATGAGAAAGAACAAGCCTAGTAGTGAGCAACCTCCTCCAGACACAAACGGCTTTCCCTTCAGTAACTATGAGTCCAAAAGCTGGGGGGTTTGTGAAAAGAAAGTCTTCTTGCCTGCCTGAGACATTAAAGAAATGATATGACCTTGACTATGATCTTTGAAACTAATCTAAGATTTTAATGACTTTCTGCCTTCAAGTGCTCAAACATGAGCTATCTTAAACACATCTGTTCTTCAGTAAGCAGCTCCTTTTATGTTTTCAAAAGCTGAGCCCTTTGCAGTTTCAGGCTGAACCCCCAAAAGGAGGTATCTAAAGGCCCTTGACATTTTTTAAAATCTTAGCCAGCCTTGAGTTTTATCAGTATAATATGAAAGGAAAAGAATAAAAGAGGGAGTTCCTAACACTCTGGCAAGGTTGAAATTAATTTCATGGGGGGATGGAAGAGAAAGGAGGTGTAGGAAACACCAGCAGGTGGTCACAGTTACATCCACCAGCCTCTTGTTTCCTGGAAGCCAAAGCTAGCAGCATTTACAGTAAAACTGATTGTTCGAAGTTGTATCATTATTCCCAGATTTCTCGAGTGCTGCTAATCTCAGTTAATTATATTGGAAATCCCTTGTATTATGACCATGTAATTCATGATGTGCCAGTAGAAGTCATGGTTCATAATAATCACATAATGGACAAGGGACTTAGACATAATCAGATTTTAGTTACCCTGTCGTGTTTCCGTAATGCTTTTGTAAAACCGACATAATCACAAAAAAGCACCAGTTATTTAAACATTTTTTATCAGATTGATGTACAGTATCTTTCTCTCTCTTTTTTTAAACAATGTAAGATAACAAAAATTGGATTACAATTGCTGGGAACAGACTATGATAAACTGTTTGCTTGTGTGCAGAATGAAATTTAATAATGGCTTCAGCATCTCAATTTTTAGTAATGTTAAACCTGTTCAGTAGTAGCACTCCGCAGCCAAAGGCTGCTTTCAAAGAGGAAGCATTACAGCATTTTGAAAACCATATCTCCAAGAGCATAGCTGTCCTATAAACCTTGAAAAATATCCTATACCCTCACAATTAACCCTGATGTTAACATTTACTGTGCATATGAGGGCTTTACTTTTTCTATGATATGCGGTGCAAAAAAACCACTCTTAGTAGCTGTAAGAATTTTAAAGGTCAGTGTCTGCTTCTCAAAATAAAGAGAGACACTTTTTACTTTACAGGAATATGGTTGGTGATTAGAATAGAGGACTTGCAAGCTAGACTCTCTGATCTCTAATGTTTTATCTCCACTCTGACCCCAATCACTTCAGCTGTACACTTGACATCCTGAGAAAGGGTCCAACTACACTTGTTTCAGCACTGTACTGCCAAACTTAATTCAAAAGCATATATGAAACATTAGTTTGCAGTTGAAAAACAGATATCCTATCCCTACTTTTTTTTTTCTACAATAACAAAGGCATTTTATTTTAGAACAATAAATATTACAGAAGTGAGTGAGCAGAATTAGTAACTGCAATCCTTTTTAGGCTTCCCCTTCCCCCCCTTTCAGAAATGAACTGTGACGGTGACAAAAGCACTACCAGTTGACAGCAAAGGGGTACCTGCTGCCTCCTAAAAGGAAATGGAAAAGCTAGCTAATAGACATCCCAGTGAAAGATTAAGTAGAGGTTAAAGAATTCCTTCCTGGGATTGTAGACAGAGTGATTGGGAAATCACAGAATTGTAGGGCTAGAGCTTCTCAGCAGCCTCTTAAACAGGCTCTTCTCAGAAAAAAAAAAACCAGAATATTCCTGAAAGACACATCTGTGTTTTTCACAAAAGTGTCTTTCACAGACAGACTTCTCATCTATATCAGCAAGCTGATAAGAAGTTTTTCCATGCCTTCCATGCTGCAAAACAGCTCAAAATGGGGTTTTGTACCCTTACTTGACATGAAAAGCAATTAACCAACCTATTCTCTTTGTATTTGCAGCCTCTTGCCGTATCTCTTTTTCAGTCTTCTCTAAATTAAATAACTTTAATCCTTTTAGTATTTCCTCCCAGGTCATGTATTCTGAACTTCAGTTTGGAGTTTTTCTTTGTTGTTTTGTTTGTTTTTTGTTGTTGCTGCTTTTTTGTTGCAACGTCTCCAGTTTGCTTACTTATTTGGATTTCTGTGCACAAATTGAAGATGGTGCAGAGAAACCCAGCAAACTTAAGTTGCCAAGATTGGAACTGTAGTGGATTTGCCCATTGCTTTTTGGAGAAATAAACAAAAACTCTCCATTTCACGGAAGTGAAGAGATGTGCGATACGATGCAATAAGCTCAAAGGTCAAAGCCATGGCTTCTGTTTACAAAAATTTACAGACTTTTTCAGATTTAAGGAAAGTAAGGCTTTAGCCTGACATTGCAACATTTTGAGTAAAAGATCTTGATACAGAAAAGCACGTGCACAATGTTAAATTTGAATAATACCACAAAAGCTAGTGCTGCCTTACATACTGCAGACATCATATATTTGTCTCTTCTTTAAGCCAAAATTTCTTCTCTAGATACATCTATATATTTATGCTGCATTATAATTTTTTATATCATGTCATTTTTCAGATATGCAAATAACAGGCAGTTCTGAAAGTCTAGCACTGAAATTATTGAATTTAAAATTATTAATCAGAATGGAAAATTGAAATGCTTGTTTGATTTAGAGACTTCCATATGTTGGACAGCATGCTGATGATTACCACAGACATTGGGAAGGCAATATTATCAGGAGAACTGGTGGCTTCTCACTATTTCTGCACTATTTAGTTACCATTAAATTAATCAGGAGGGAGTTAGCATTAGTCAACTGCATTATAGTTAGCCTGGGAGAGTTAAAAATAACGCTCCCTTGGAGAACCCTTACCATTAGAGCATAAGAATTAAGTATTTTTCGTTGCTAGTGAGGAAAATAGCTGTGGAAATTGGGGCAATAGTCTTTGCTTTTCTACTTCCTAGCTCAAAAATGCAGTATATTATATATACTGCATTGAGAAACTCTAAATTTCCCTAGATTTTCGGCATCCATCTGTTGGAACATAGGGGAATAGGACTTGAACAGCTGGAGTGGGATATGAAGGGTATGAGAAATCACTCTTTAGCTTAAACCCTCAGTGGAAACCATATACGTGTATCTATAAAATCTCTAGCCAATTATTAACAGCTTAGCTACAAAATAACATTAAACCTTTATGAGGATTGAAAAATCTTGTCTCAAACTAATCTCCTAATATCAGAGAGCAGAAAAGACGTCAGAAACACCAGCCTGTTTAAAACCTTCACAAATTTAAATTTCAGACCCTATTGTTCTGAAAATAATCCTCCCCTGTGATCAAAAAGTAAACGAGAAGAGTCCATGACTGCAGTGCACAGAAAGAAGCCCACAGTATCCTGGCACACAGCTTTTGGTGTAGAATATCTGAGACATGAAATGAATCCCACAAGCAAGGTGAAGGCCTCAAACAGCGTGTGATTAATTTACAGGAGTGCTGTTGTGATGTCTTCCATAAACTGGAATACCTCCATTTTCCACAGATGGCTATTACGGGCACCATTCCTATGACAGGAAGATTAGTGGCATTTTTTTATTGCACACCTTGAGTGTTTAGATTAACCTTTCCTGTTCAATAATGCCTTCCATGCAAAATTATCTGCAAAAAGCAAATATTTTGAAAGCGGCTGTGGCACTTGTGCCTTGTGGACTTAATTACATACCAGTATGGAGTTAGGCAGCATGGTTCAACTGAGCCTCCCATCAGTTTCATCATGCAAGAAGCAAAAAATGAGTATTTCCTAGATAAATACCTGTGTGAAAAGACGTACATCTTAAGCAGTGTATCCACGGGCAAAGCACATGAGAAAAGCACAAGTGGCTTTAAGTCATTGCTGCAAGGGCATTCCTGGGAGCACTGTAGGATCAAGGTCTTTGGATGTGTTCCCTGTTGTGACCGTTGGATCAGTGCTACCTGCTGCAGAAAGACTAGGGCACAGCCACATTTCTGCCCATCCTTCCTACTCCAACATTGCCTCTTTTTGCAGATGGGTCTTGAGGTCCAAGAAGCTATCAATGTATAACAATGTGTAACACCTTACTCCATGGAACATGGAATTCCTGATCATCTGGAATGAACAGGGCATATGATGGGACTTACTAGAGTTTTCCCTAACCCCTCTCACCAACAGCTGTGCAAGAACTAGACACAACACAATGAAAGTCCTCAAGGGAAAGTCTCATGTGAAAGGCTAAATATTTATTTTAGCAACTTTCTGGAGCTAAAAATCAGGCTCAGATTATCTACCCTTGCCATCAGCACAGATCCTCTAGAAACTTCTTGGGAATACATTAGATCTTGGGCAGAGAACACCAAAGATGACAATCACTATTTCCCTAAAGCCTGAATACAAGATACTGAATTTACTCTCTAGAAATATTCTTTTAACATCTAATAACAAAGTAGTTTCTGAAATATGCATTTAGATTTCTTAAAAA